AAAAAGAAATAAATAGCAAATCAACCTGATGGAGCAAAGCCGTCTGTGTACCCTTGCTCTGACCTTGACCAACTCAAGGATGCAGAGGCAAAGTTTGTAACCTGCTTTCAGGTTTGAAGCTCTCCCATCTTAGATAGTCTTGGAAATAAAGCAAAGGGAGAAAAGTGCAGAAGATGTGTATCTGGTTGAAGTTAAGGACGAAGTGCCTCACCACGACAAAAGTGTTGAGGAATCTCTTTGAGAAACAGGGCTGGCAAGACTGAGGAAGGGTGGGCCAGCTCACCACAGGTGTGAGTGGAGAGGAGCCCTGGGCTGGATGTGTGGTGGGTCTTGCCTCTTCCGCAGGTTGGGGGAGGGCCCTGAGCCCCTCTGGGTGCCCCGAGAACATCAGCATCTCAGTTACATTCTGATGGCCTTCAAGTTTCAGTCATGCATGTTTCAGAAGGGAGCATCGCACTGGCCATTCCAGACGGTTCTATGTTAAAAGCGGCTTCCCTGGTGGCTCAGATGGGAAAGAATCTGCCTGCAATGCAGGAGATGGAAGTTCAGTCTCTGGGTCAGGACAATCCCCTGGAGGAAGGCATGGCTACCCACTCCAGTATTCTTGCCGGAGAATTCCTTGTACAGAGGAGCCTGGCGGGCTACAGTCCATGGGATGGCAAAGAGTCCATGGGATGGCAAAGTAACTAACACTTTCAATTTCACTTCGTATGTTAAAAAATGAGACAAAACAAATGAACAAAAACCTGGAAGGAAACACTCTGCCCACTGGTGAAGCTCCAAGCTGTGCCTGTGACTGATTCTTTCCAAGTCTACACAAATCTCTTATGGAAAAGCACCGTGTCTGTAAGGTTAAACTGTGCCTTCTCGGGGCGCTAGTTGTAAAGAACTCACCTGTCAATAGAGGAGACATAAGAGACGCGGGTTCGATCCCTGGGTCTGGAAGATCCCCTGAAGGAGGGCATGGCAACCCACTCCAGTGTTCTTGCCTGGAGAATTCCATGGACAGAGGAGCCTGGTGGGCTACAGTCCATGGGGTTGCAAAGGGCTGGACATGACTGAAGCAACTTAGCACACACACACTTCTCTAGTCTGGGTCTGAAAATCTTTGACCTCAGGGACACACATGGTCCATGATCTATGCAACTGTAGTGGGCAACTTGGGAGATGGCCCTGCTGACCCATCTCTGATCTCCACACGCTGCGTCATCCCCTCCCCTCGAGTGTGGACTTGGCGACCTGGTCCTAATCGACACGGTACAGCGGAGGGGATGCCTTGGCTTTGAGGTTAGGTCACAGAGGGCCTGCAGCTTCCGTTCTGGATGCTGTTTCTCTCCCTCTCAAACTGCTCCTGCTGGAGGAAGCCAGCTTCCTCGTGATGAGGCAGCATCCTGGAGGGTCCCAGGTGAGTGAACTTGAAAGTGGATATTCTGAGGCTGCCGATTGTCACTGACGGGGCCTGGCAGTGGAATCGCCTGCCTAGTTGAGTCTTGATATGACAGCAGCCTCATGAGAAGCTTTGAGCTGAGCCTCCTCCAGTGAATCGTGCCCGGATTCCTGATCCACAGAAACTGAAAAATCATAAGTGCTTGTTGCTTTATGCGGTTAGGTTTTGGGGGTAATTTGCTATGAAATAATACGTAATTATTCCTCCACCTGAACTACTGTTTTTAGAAAGCCACGAATCTCATTCTTTCCTCTCTCCTTCCCCACCCAAGGATAAACCAACACAAACTCTGATTCAGAGGAGCAAAAGGATAGGTTATTTTAAGTCATCAGAGCAAATGTCTCTTTATGAAACAGTTGCTGCATGAAACGAGAGAAAATTTGAGAAAATCTCAGATTCATGGTGCCACTGATAATCTAGATGAACATTGTGTATATGGAAAAAAGGAGATCAAGGAAGATTGCTCTGAGATGAAAACCATTACTTTAAGTCTTAAAATGAAATGGAGACAGTGATTGGAGATTGCAGAAAATCAGATCAGTGATTTAAAAGACCAGACAGAAAATTTCTCATGCTCAGACTATAAAGGAGACAAAAAGAGACATATAAAGAAAAGTAACATTGAAGACAAATTCAGGAATTTCATTATATCTTAGGAGAAACAGGAGCAGAGAGAATATAACATGTAAACAAGGAAATAATACAAAGTAAGTTATGCTGTGGACTGAATTGTGTCCCCAACCAAACCCATATGTTGAAGCCCTAATCGCTTATGTGACTCTGGTGGGGACAGGGCCTTTAAACAGGTGGCTTAGGTTCAATGAGGTGCTGAGTGTGCGTCAGGGCTGATGTGATAAAACTGGTGTCCTTATAGAAGAACCGCTCTCCCTGGGCACACAGAGGGAAGGCCATGTAAGCACATGGTGAGGTGGCGGCCCCCTACAAACCAGAACAGAGGCTTCAGAATGACTACTTTGTCAGCATCTTGATCTTGGACGTCCCAGCCTCCAGAGCTGTGAGAAATAAGTGTTTTAAGCCCCCCCCCCCCATCTATTCCAGTTTATTGGGTTGGCCAAAAAGTTAGTTTGATTTTTGTATACAATTTTTCAAAAAACCGAATGAATCTTTTGGCCAACTCAGTATTAGAGTAGTCCATAATAAAAAAAATGGGCTATGATAAGTTTCCTGAGCTGAAGAATATCTCTTCTCCAAATTAAAATTCTCTTTAATCATCTTTAAAAATAAAAGATTAAATTATCTTTAAAGTAGCCTTCAAGAGACTTTTTGAAAAGATATTTAGAAATATGCCTGAATGTATTCCAATGACATTTTGGCATTTCAAGGAAAAAGGAACAACTCTTACAGGTTTACAGTTGAAAATGCACATTACCTAACTGGTAGCAGTTTTCTTCATGTAACAATAAAGTGGAACAGAATAATCCCCACAAAGTTTTGAGGTGAAAATACTATCTCAAAGAACTCCATTTTCAGCCAGTCTAATGGTCATGTATGAGAAATCAGAAACAGATCTTCAGTCATGAAAGGAATTGGAAAATATTTCATAAGCATCATTTTGTGAGAAAAAAATGGGGAAAGAAATCTGCAAAATGTCAAAGTGCTCACTTTCAGATTATATAGAGAATTCCTACAAATCAACTAGAAAAAGGGAGACCACCAAGTGTAAACGTATCCCAGAGACCTGCACGGACACGGCCCCATAGTGGGCATCCCAGCAGCAGCACATCAATGTCCAGGGCCTTGCTTTCAATCGGCTCAGTTCAGTCACTCAGTCGTGTCTGACTCCTTGACGCCCCATGGACTGCAGCATGCCAGGCTCCCCTGTCCATCACCAGCTCCCAGAGTTTACTCAAACTCATGTCCATTGAGTCTGTGATGCCATCCAAACATCTCATCCTCTGTCATCCAGTGAGTCAGCTCTTTGCATCAGGTGGCCAAGGTATTGGAGTTTCAGCTTCAGCATCAGTCCTTCCAATGAATATTCAAGGTTGATTTCCTTTAGGAGTGACTGGTTGGATCTCCTTGCAGTCCAAAGGCCTCTCAAGAGTCTTTTCCAACACCACAGTTCAAAAGCACCAATTTCTTTAGCACTCAGCTTTCTTTATAGTCCAACTCTTGCATCCATATGTGACTACTGGAAAAACCATAGCCTTGGCTAGATGGACCTTTGCTGGTAAAGTAATGTCTCTGCTTTTTAATATGATGCCTAGGTTGGTCATAGCTTTTCTTCCAAGGAGCAAGCATCTTTTTATTTCATGGCTGTATTTACCATCTGCAGTGATTTTGGAGTCCCCCAAAATAAAGTCTCTCACTGTTGCCATTGTTTCCCCATCTATTTGCTGTTTACTTTCATTAGTTACCCAAGAAATGCAAGTTAAAGCCCCACTGAAATACCTCTACACTGCCTCCAGAATGCCTGCAATTTAATTTTGATGATGTGAAGCAATTTCCAAAAACTACTAGGGCATGAGCTGGTGCAACCACTTTAGAAAACTGGGATTATTTACTCAAGTTGAAGCATGCACATCTAGGTACAAACTTACTTCCCTCCCAGGTAAATGCCCAACAGAAACGTTTGCACATTCCCATAAGAAGCATGTTCAGGAAATATCATAAGAGCATCACTCCTAATGCCTCAAACTGGAAACAATTGGATTGTACATTAACAGTAAAATGGATAAATAAGTGGTGTTCCTACAACAGGAAGGATTCAGCGATGAAGGGGAATTTACCACAGTCCCCTGCAACAGAGCTTGACTCTTGCAAACACAGTGTTGAATAGATGAAAGTTGCCCAACACAAGGGAGTGAATTCCATGTGACACTGTTTACATAAAGATTAGAAAATGGGTGAAAGGAAACTACAGGGATGCAAATCAAGATAGTGATTGATTTTTCAGGAGAGAGAAGAGGGAGAAAGTGGGAAATTTCAGGTAAAGTTTTACTTCTTGATCTGGTTGGTGGTTACAGGGGTGTTACTGATGATCCATCGAGCAGTCGAGTGTGTATATGTTTAGTGTGAAGTTCTCTGTATATACTTCAGATATATATATAGGAGCTTCCCTGGTAGCTGAGACAGTAAAGCATCTGCCTGCATTGTGGGAGACCTGGGTTTGAATCCTGGGTAAGGAAGATCCCCTGGAGAAGGAAATGGCAACCCACTCCAGTACTCTTGCCAGGAAAATTCCATGGATGGAGGAGCCTGGTAGGCTACAGTCCATGGGATCTCAAACAGTTGGACATGACTGAGCGACTTCACTTTTTACTTTCTCTGTATATATCATACTTCATAATATAAAAAAGATAACGATAGGCTATTGCAAAGAAAAAAGCAACTGAAACAGATACCAGGCAGAAATATTCAGGGCAGCTTTTGTTGAGAGTTCCTTCATACTTTGAAACCAGAAAATGACCTGATTTGGGGGAGGTGGAGGATGAGTGGAGAAATCCCCCAGACAGGCAGGAGTAAGACTCCCCTGTCAACCCCAGGAGGCTCCATGGGGACTGATCCAGGGCAGAAGGGTCCCTTAGCTCACCTTCCAGACCCCATGTGTCAAAGGTCAGCCTGCCAACCAATGAGCACCTGGTGTGGATGATGTTTGGTGTCTCCAGGATGGTCCAGCCCTTCTGCTCTTCCCCTCAGCGACCTGTCACAGGTGAGAAGCTGACTCTTAGTGGTCTGGGTGCCCACAAGCCCACTGAAAAGAAAATGTTTACAAATCTATTAAAAAAAGGCAGGCAGCCCAGTAGAAAAATGAGCAAGTGACTTGCAACTTGATAATGGTGTGAGAAGAAGAAAAACTCTTCTTAACCAAGGTAATAACTGGACGGAAATCAGTAGGAAATTGCCCAGTGTCTTGGGCAGGGTAGATATGCGGCCTATTTTTATATGATAAATACACAGATGCAGTAGATACATATTTTATTTCATAGAATGTAAATCAACAGCACATAGACTTTACATATGTCTGTGTTACATGGACATGTGTTCATATCCTAGAACATAAAGGAAATATTAATACATTTCCAGTGAATGTATTTATGTTCTCTGGCTGCAAGTGAATAAAATGAAAATGTAACAGTAGTCTTCGATAGGCAAAATCGTCAAAGCACTTGGATATTTAAAACAAATATAAGTACTTTTTATGAACAACGCAAAAGTTATAGGATAAATCAAATCAGTGTAAGAAATTGTTTCAAATGAATGACAATGAGGGCACTGTATAACAACATTTATGTGAGACAGCTAATATTGTTCTCAGAAGAAAATTCATAGCCTTTGATGCTTTTATTGCGTATCAAGAAAGAATGCAGATAAAGGAATTAAGCATTCATCTCAGCAACAGAGAAGTAATATAAAAATAAAACCAAGAAAGCAAGAAACCAAGTAGAACTAATAAATTTAGAAAATAATGAAATAGAATAACTTTAAAAATAGTTAAGATGGTTTAACTTCAGAATTTAAGAATTTAAGTTAAGAAGCCTGGCGTGCTGCAGTCCATGGGGTCACAAAGAGTCAGACACGACTGAGTGACTGAACTGAACTGAACTGAAGGTGATTTAAAAATTCAACATTATTTTGAAAAAAGATATGAAAAAAATCTCTAGTAAGATCAGTAAAAAGCAAAAGGAAGGCAAAAATATGTAACCTTGGGAGAAAAGAGGCTATAACTAGATAAGGAATAGAATTTTAAATCTTCAAGAAAATATATTTTAGTTTGTCTGAAAGTCTTAATGAAACGGGTAACTTTTTTCAGGTAGAAAGAAACAAAAACTAAATAAGGCAGGAACAGAAAACCACAGCACATCAATTTTGTCAACAAAAGTTTAAAAATAATCAAGGAAATATTCACAAAAAGCCAAAGCGAAACACAAAAAACGTGATAGCAATCATAACAATAATAACAAAACTGAACCAATTTCAATTACAAATATAATTGCAAAAATTCTATGTAAAACATCAGCAAATCAAATCCAGCAATGTGTTGAAAGAATTTATATGACCAAGTAGAGTCTGTTGTAGGATTGCCAAATTTATTTTTTTAAAAATCTACTAATAAGTTTTGGGCTTCCCTGATAGCTCAATTGGTAAAGAATCCGCCTGCAATGCAGGAGACCCTGGTTTGATTCCTGGGTTGGGAAGATCCACTGGAGAAGGGATAGGCTACCCACTCTAGTATTCTTTGGCTTCTCTTTTGGCTCAGCTGGTAAAGAATCTGCCCGCAATTCAGGAGACCCTGGTTCGATTCTTGGGTTGGGAAGATCTCCTGGAGAAGGGAGAGGCTACCCACACCAGTATTCTGGCTTACAGAATTCCATGGACTGTATAGTCCATGGGGTCGCAAAGAGTCGTACATGACTGAGCTACTTTCATTAGTAAATATTATCTCATAATATGTCAAAGGAGAAAACCATACATCATCTCAATAGACATGAAAACTATTTTATAACATGCAATGTTTATTTCTTATCAAAACTTATAGTAGACTAGATCAAAGAATACTTTCTTACATGATAGAGATTATCTTTCTAAAAGTGCCAACCTACCTCATATTTATGCTAAAACAGGGATTAGTTTTTACTACCATTAAGAACAAAATAGCAAGCCAGTATCATGTTATTATATCTTCCTTGTCTCACTTTGGAATCAACTGAGAGGAGGCATCAGACAGATGCCACTCAAAGTGTTAGCTTCATTACTGAGAAAGCCAACTGAAGTCGGTGGTTTTAGATCTGAAACCAGAGGAACTTGCTAGCAATCCCTGAATTAGGCAAGGTACACAGTCCCTGACCCTACTTTCCCCACCCATACCCAATGAGGACTGACTGTTTCGGAGAGTCAGAGAGACCACAGAGTCCCTTATTCTCAGATGAGCAGATCTCAAGTGAATCCAGAGGGGCCTAAGCCAGGCAAGCAAATTCTCTCCCAAAGATACCAATAAAGTGCCCCCAGAGTGAAAGATACAAGATTAGAAGGAGGCCAAAAGCATCACATAAGTACAAGGTTTGGTGCGTGGAAGCCTGAGGCCAAGGGGAGCTCTAGCAGTATTCTATACCCTTCAAGAAGCTTAGCCAATGTGACAATTAGGGGAAAGAAAGAACAATAAATATTAAAGAAATCAAAATGAGCAACCATTACTTGCAGATAACACAGTTATTTGAAAAATCCAAGTGAATCAACTGAAAAAATACTGCGTGCATGCTTGGTCGCTTCAGCCCTCTCCAACTCTTTGCGAGCCCATGGACTGTAGCCTGCCAGGCTCCTCTGTCCATGAGATTTTCTAGGCAAGAATACTGGAGTGGGTTGCCATTTCCTCCTCCAGGGGATTTTCTCAACCCAGGGATCAAACCCGAGTCTCCCGTGTCTCCTGCATTACAGGCAGATTCTTACAGGTTTTATTTTTGGTGAAGTACTTATGAAATTATATGCATGGAGAAAGATTGAAAGGACAGATTCCAAATGTTAACAGTGGCTATCGCTAAACAATTATTTTTTTTAAATCGGAATTTTCTCATTTTTCTATAGTAGAAATGATACTCTTGTAATCATGCTAAAGTATCACCTCCCCAACCAATACTGTACATATATGAGAATACTTTAAAAATTTTTGAGAAAAATGTAAAAGATGGACCTTCCCTGGAAGGTAATGATACAAAGTGACAATGATTAGCAGTGTGGTACAGGTGCAGAGGGGTTTCCCAAGTGGTAAAGAACCCACCTGCTGACGCAGAAGACATCAGAGACTCAGGTTCGATCCCTGAGCCAGGAAGAGTCCCTGGAAGAGGGCAGGGCAACCCACTCCAGCATTCTTGCCTGGAGAAGCCCATGAACAGAGAGCCTGGAGCGCTCCAGTCCATAGGGTTGCATAGAGTTGACAGGCCTGAACGGACTCAGCACGCACGCACGAGTGTGGGGAACACAGGTCCACGGGGCAGAGGAGACGACCAGAACACGCTCTCAGTGGCCACTGGATCTAAAAACTGCTGAAGCTGAAAAGCTATCATTTGGAGGCTTGGGAGCCATTTCTGTGGTGGAGTTTTTCTTTGGGAGGGCTCACTCGATGAACCCCCGCAAGTTGGAAATAACCCAAATATCCAATTAATAGGAAATTGGCTGAATAAATTATGGCACATTGATTCAGTGGAATTCTATAGAGCTATGCAAATCTGTGATGATAGGATATTTCATGGCATGGAGATTTGTTTACAGTTTAGTGTTAAGTGAAAATCTGGTTTCAAAACTGATTGCATGCTGTGATCCAATATTTGTAAAAAAAAGAAAACTCTGTATTTATTTAAAGATTTGAAGGATGTATTTTATTTCGCTCTGTCCACTCATCTGCATTATATTTTCTCTGTAATGAGCACCTATTTCTTTTATAAGAGAACACATAATAGATGTAGTTTATATACAGTTATATAAAAATATAAAAAGGGAGAGAATAGTTTTCCAGTCAGCAAGACTCAACTATAAAAGGACTAAATGAACCAATACATTAAAAACAAAGTCAATTAGGCAAAAACACTAACAGGGGCCTCCTGTTCAAAGCAGAAGACCTCTGGGCTCTGGACTGCAAACAGCAAAGACCCACAGGCAAAAGCATCTGTTTTGTGAAAAGGAAGCTGAGGTCGCCCTGGCCAGGTGCCATGAAATACTTGAATTGTTTTAATAGCTTTGTGGGCTTCCCTGACGGCTCAGATGGTAAAGAATCTGCCCGCAGTGCAGAAGATAAGGGTTTGATCCCTGGGTGGGGAAAATCCCCTGGAGAAGGAAATGGCAACCCACTCCAGTATTCTTGCCTGGAGAACCCTGTGGACAGAGGAGCCTGGCAGGCTAGAGGCCTGGGGTCACAAAGAGCTGGACATGACTGAGTGACTAACACACACACTAGCTCTCTGGAGGTAGATGAGGAATTGGCTCTCGTGATTGTGGAGGTTGAGAAGTCCTACTGTCTCTGTAAGCAGGAGACCCAGGGCAGCCGGTGGTCCAGCCCTAGCCTGAGTCCAAAAGCCTGAGAACCAGGAGAGCCTGTGGTTTAAGTTCTAGTCCAAGGGAAGGAAAAGGCTGAGGCCCAGGACCAAACAGGCAGGGAGGACAAATTATCCCTTCCCCTGCCCTCTTGTTCGGTTGGGTTGGCCTAAAAGTTCATTCAGGCTTTTCCATAAAATGGTACAGAAGACGGGAAAGAGCTTTCTGGTCAACCCAATATTTGGATCCTCAATGGACTGGATGAGGCCCACCCACGTTGGAAGGGGCCCACATTGGACTGACTTTACTCAGTCTTCTGATTCAAATGCCAATCTTGTCTGGAAACACCCTGACAGACATGCCTAGAAATAAAGTTTAAGCAAGTACCTGAACTCTCTGTGGCCCAGTCAAGCTGACACATCAACTTAACCATCCCATCCCTGTGAGTGTGTGAGGTGGCAGAGGTTTGAACATGGGTATTTCCAGTGAGGTGTAAGGCTATAGAGAACTGTCATAAATGTTGCAGAAAGGGGAATAAACGATGGACCAGATAGGCTGGTCACCGGGTGAGGTGGGAGCCCTGGCCTCCAGCGGAAGCAGGAAGATACCGGATGCTGGAGGCCAGGAGAAAGGAACAGATGCCCCAAAGACAAAGGTGAGGTTGTCCCCAGGTCTGAAAAGCAAGGGAGGAGGGCTTGTGATGTCTTTGCTTTGAAATATGGGTCAAAG